CCTCCCCATCTCTCTCTCCTCTGTGGTCAGCTCCCCAGGAGGTCTCTAGAGCCAGGTGAAGGCGGCACAAGGCCCAGGTCTCTATGGCAAAGGGCCCCCAGAGGCTCTATCTCTGAGGAAACTCCACATATAAACCCAAACCAGCCTGGGGGGTGGGGTGCAGGCCAAGCAGTAGAGCTAAGGGAGGTGGAGGGGAAGGGCAGGTTCATGACTTCCTAGGTACACACCTGTAAGCCCTGAGTGGGTGTCAGGGGAGACAGAGTTTGACAAGCTGGGAGGAGAGCTGTCTGTCTGCCTGTCTGTCTGTCTTCCAAGTGGAAGCTGGGGGTGGAGCAGGCAGGGAGATAAAGGCTGCCTCACTTGTCAGAATTAGCAAGTTCCACAGTTGGGCAACACTCAGACACACACCAAATACAGACACACACATCCTGGCTCCGACCAACAGGGTGACACCTGCATTTCCACAGGCTGCATGGTGACATGCATACTCAGGGACATACATGTGCGGGACATTCAACAGCACATGAAGCAGGCACACAGTCCCCCACTCATCCCCGCAAATCAGACACCCATATACCCTCAAGCCGGGCTATGCAGCGTGGACAGAGCACACAGCCCAGCACCCAGGCACATCTGCTCAGCCCCCGGGGCGGGTGTGCCAGCCCTCTGGGTCTGTTCCAAGTCAGAGCCTCTCACGTGAGGCCCAATGTGTCATTTCCAAACAGAAGGAATCTAGCTCCTTCGCAGCGAGGAGGAAGAGCAGGGTGTAAAAAAAAGTGGGCATGTGCAGGGCGTGCATGAGAGAAAGAGACAGGTGAATACCCGGGCGTGTGTGTCGGGACGCGGTGCACGCGGGTTGGGGGCTCTAAGGTTCGGTCCGGGAAGGAGCCCGAGGAAACAGAGTGTGCTTTTGTGAGGGTGTGTGTGTGTGCCGCCGAGTCTGTGTGCAGTGGGTGTGGGTGTTTGTCTCCCTGTATCCGCCTTCTCTCCCGTTCTGGACTTTTAGTCTTCCTGGGATCGTCTTCCTCATGTCCCAGCCCCTCCCTCTCAGGGCTCAAATTGGGGGCCCTGGTGGGGGGGCACATGCTCCAGGACCCAGTCAAACCCCAGAGGCTGCCTGAGGCTTCCCTCCAGCTCCCCTCCCTTTCCTTTCCTCCCTCCCTC